TCTAATAAGAATAAGAATAAAATTCAATGGAAGCTAACTAGAAAACCTAACGGTTCATTTAGCTTTCAAGCTCTAAAAATGTTATTTAAAATATAAATTCTATCTATGTACCAATTATTTAAGTATTGTGTATTATTTATGTATTTTTATCTAAGAGTGAAATAAAGTTGTATTGTAGTTGTATTGTTGTAGTTGTATACCTGGCTATGTATCGTGCCGAAGGGATAGACCGAATAACCAACGCGGGGGCGGTCTTTGTACCTATTTTAATTCACAACTTAATTTTACTGAATTAACTGACCTAAGTGAGCCAGAAATTGAGAGTCAATGGTTTCTAATCAGAATGGAACGTTCACCTCGAGGAATCAACTCTATTTTATTGGGAACAGTTTACCATCCTCCTCAGAGCGATGACCATGTTCTTCGAATGCATATCTTCAAATGTTTCGATTCTTTACTTGCCACCTATCCTAATTCTGCCATCTTGGTCCTTGGTGATTTCAATCAATTCAAACCAGGTAAACTCTGCAACCCTTTTAGATTGAAGAAACTGGTTACCAAGCCCACCAGGGAAAGTAATATTCTTGACCAAGCTTTTTCAACTCTGTCACCTTACTACGATGTCATCATCCTGCCTCCTATTGGTCAATCTGATCATTCCAGTATCTTACTACAACCCATTTTGACACATGCTGCAAGTCTACCTACCACACGATTGCAAAAGCGTGATTATCGAGCTCCTAACAAACAAAATTTGATCTCTCGTCCGAATACAGTTAACTGGACGCCACTGATGCGGCTGAATTCGTGCGAGGAACAACTGGATTCTTTCCATTCTTTCCAGTCGGTAGTTCACGTTGCTTTCAATTCGTGTATCCCCATGTGTACTGTGAAACATCATCCTAACGACAAATTATGGATTAGTCCTGTTATTAAAGAATCTATTAAGAAACGTCAACAAGCTTGGTTGAATAATGACTTACACCAATATAATGTTTATCGCAATAAAGTGATAAAACTTTGCAAGAGGGCACGCCAAATTAAAGATTCTACAATGACAAAATTAATCACATTGCATGAGAGTAATCCTAAAAAGTGGCGAGACTGAATCAAGCTGTTGTCTGGACTTTCTAATCCTCCCCCGTTAACAAGTTTAGCCGTAAATGGCACTGTTTTGAAGGACTTCGATCTTGCTGTCGCTGTTAACAAATCCTTTTGCAGTGTTGCTGCTGACATACCACAACTAAACTTTACTCCCATACCTGTTTCTAACATTCCTGATGAGTACATTATTACCCGTGATGCCGTAGAATGTGCTTTGGTGGATGTGCAAGATCGCAAGTCTGTAAGACATGACGAGATTCCCAATTGGCTCTTGAAAACCTGCGCCACAACTATTAGCATCCCTGTTTGTTCCATATTTAACTCTTCTATTAGAGAAGGTCGTGTCCCCGGGCTGTGGAAATGTGCGGATGTCCTCCCGTTGGGGAAGATCTCTAGACCGAAGTCTATTGATACGGACCTTAGACCTATATCTCTAACTGCAGTGTTGAGCAAAATCCTTGAGTCTTTTGTTTTCAACTGGCTTGCACCTATTGTTATGCCATACATTGACCCTTTCCAGTTTCGTAGTGTGAAAAAGTCTTCAACCACTCACTCCCTCGTGCATTTAGTCCACTACTGGTTTTCTGCCCTGGAAACGCTTAACACCATTATCCGAACCTGCTTCATCGATTTTTCCAAAGCGTTTGATCGAATTGATCATAACATTCTGATGCGCAAGTTACAGCTTCTCAATGTTCCACCGGTCCTATTAAACTGGTGTTCAAGTTTTTTCAAGGCAGACAGCAGTGCGTCAAATTAAAAACTTGTAAATGTGATTGGAAAGAAATAAAATCTGGAGTTCCGCATGGTACCAAACTTGGTCCTCTGGGGGTAAATTAAGTGGACTACACATCAAGCACATATCCTCCAAAGCAAGCAAGCAAACGTCTGTGCGCTTTAAGGATATTAAGAAGAAATGGTGTCCAACCGAGTGATCTTAGGACAGTATACTGTAGTTTTAACTGACCTGTCTTGGAATATGCGTGTCCAGTCTGGCATACCTTATTACCAAAGTTCATGACTGATGAATTAGAGCACATTCAGAGACGTGCGTTCAAAATTATTGTCTCCCACTTGTCCTACTCCGAAAGCCTCAAAGACCTAAAGTTGCCCACTCACGAGGACAGAAGGGAATTGTTATGCAGATCTTTGTACAAAAACAATTATAATGACACTTCGAGCAAAATTTTTAATCTATTACCTGAACCTTTAGATCATCAGTACAATCTTAGACATTCCTGATCTATCTCACTTTTTAAACCCGAACTAAACGCTATAATGATAGTCTTTTGCCATATTGCGTACGCAAATGGAACTCTTTATAACCTTTTAGGCTTCTATAGATTAATATATCATTTGTAAATTAGCAATCCTACGTTATTTTAATTAGTATTACCAGCGTATCTATAATCTGTATATACGTATTTTGTTCTACTATTTTTAAAATATGTAAACTTGTGTCTTTTCAGTTCGGTTTTGAACTGCCATATGCATTCAAGTATTTTAATAAATCTAATCATCTAATTCTAATCATTTCCAAACTTGGCACTGTCCACCCTTACGGTATTAATGCACATAATTTTGACGAAAGTAGACATTGACGCACGTTTAATTCTTACCTTATTCTATACTTGTTTAATATATTTGTTGCATTTGTTGTAATTTTCTGTGTATTGGTATTAATATATTCTGTAATGTGATTTACATTTTTTGTTTATACTTTGTTTTGACCAAATCCATATGATCGGTTTGTTTTTTGTCGATTGATCAGGTTTTTTCCTCAGTATTTAAGCCTATGTAATTCTCCCGACCCCGCTAGCAACTCCAGACAAAGGGCCTTCTCTTCATATTTTTCAGGTAGTTACATCCCTACCAACGAAAGCTTGTTATATGATTTTAGTTAAATTTCAGTTATGTATTGGTCTCAGTTAGTTTTCGTAGTATTGTTGGTCTTTGTTATAAGTTTTAAATATATGTTTATTGCATTTTAGTTTTAATTAAGGCTTGCTTTAACTAGTTCTCATTTAGGGCATATTACCCCCACATAAACTGTCCTCCCCCCCCCCTCCCACACACACACACATACTGCTCCTGGTGAGTTCACTGCATTGTTCTGGTTTGCAGGAACGATTACAATTAAAGAAAATATCAATGCAAGGCGTAAGTTTGTCAATTATGGGTGACGTGGTGACGACCAAAGACGTGGTGACGACCAAATTGGATGAAGTAACATTAGCTCACGACAACAAACTTATAAGAATAGAAGCTGAGGTATGTAAAGTACGATCTAATTACGAAAGGAAAATTGAAAATTTAAATAATAAATGTCATGATTTATTACTGAAACTTGAATGTAACAAAGCACTCGAAGATAAAGTAAATAAACTTGAAGTTTTGGTCGGCAATCTTAAAGCAGACATACAGGATCTACGAAATGAGAATGGTTTGTTCAAATCGAAGCCACGGTTGTTTAAAAACTCTACGCCTAAAGTACAACAAAAAAACACCGGGAACAATGACCTATACTTAATTAATACAATTAACATTCCTGATGAACCGATAACTATTGTTGAGCAACAACCCCAGGATTTAAACAAAAATTTAGAGTTAAACACCTCTCTCTTAGTTGGCAATAAGACTTCTCGGGCCGACAAAGGATCGGTGTACAATCCTCAGATGAATTCAGTTATTGAATGTATCGAGGCAAGAAATCAACCTAGAACCGATCCACCGAAAGGGCCACATACGAGCAAAGCTACCAAACGTAATTCCGCTATTTCTAGCAAACCTTTGCCCAAGCACTTAGTACCTTGCCCATTTCTAAGACGGAGAGGCTTTTGCCTAAAGGGTCCCTTGTGTGACTTCCAGCACAAAAATTCTCAATCGTCCAATAATCCGCTGAATAACCCGTCCTATTGTTCGTCCAATAATCGACCAAGAGTGTCTAATAACCTACAGCGATACCCTCATAACTTGGGCTATACATCTTATCCAAATATATCACAACCTATTACTAATCATTTTCCTTTTCCTGTGAGTTCAAGCCATTTCCCCCCGTTTCAACCTCCACAGTATCATCCCATGCTTCGACCATATGTATACCCACCACCTCTGTTGACATCAATATAACCCCTTTACGGCCCCCTGTCGTGCTCCCCTCAGCACCACCTACAATAACGTTTCCTAGTATGCCCTTGAGTGTTCTAAATCGTCCTCGAAAAGTGAAAAGCAACATTTCAAATCAAAAACATTGTGTAAATAGAAATAATCTGATACAGATTCAAACCAAGAGAGCCATTCCTGGGACTCAGGCACATAACCGCTTACCAACCTTTAGCTGTTTACCAACATCCTTTCACTCCAACGTAAGATCCTTAAATGCTAAGATTGATGATTTGCAAACTGTCACCCAACAAAATAACGTAGATGTAATCGCCATAACAGAAACTTGGTTAAATTCTAGAATCACCGATGATCCAATATCCCTCCCAGGCTACTCTATTGTTCGAAATGATCGTGAAAATGGCAAACGGGGCGGAGGAGTGTGCGCTTTTATTAAGTCCAATATACCCTTTTCCACCCTTCCTAATTTTAGTGTCCCCGACGTCGAAGGTGTGTGGTTAAAACTCAGACCTTACCGACTACCTCGCGAACTATCCTGCATCTTTGTTGGCGTGATTTACCATCCACCACTAGCAGACAACAATATCCTGCAAGATTACCTTATTTCCACGGTAGATAAATTATTATTAGAGCATCCTAACGCAGGAATTATGATATTGGGTGATTTTAATCATTTTGACTACAAAACATTATGCCGCCATTCCTTCTTGAAACAAACTGTTAAGAAACCTACCAGGCAATCAGCCATTTTAGATTTGATCTTAACCAATATGCACAAGTGGTACCACGAACCTGAAATCTTACCAGCAATTGGCTTGTCTGACCACCTGTCCGTTCTTGCTACTCCTGCTGTTCAAGCTTAACTACCCAATAATATTATTAAGAAAACTGTACGTAAAACAAAACCGTCTAGCATAACATCACTTGGAAAATTCGTCAAGTCATTGGACTGGAGTCACCTTTACCGCTTACCTTCTTGCCAAGATAAATGCGACCTTTTCTACAACCTACTTATGTTAGGACTAGATACCTTCCTGCCAAAGAAAAAGGTTAAAGTTCATTGTAGGGATAAACCATGGATCACTCCGGATTTAAAAAAGCTTATATCAGACAGACAACATGCATTAGCTGCAGGAAATCGTAATTTGTATAATCAACGTAGAAATGATGTCCGCAGAGCAATAAAACAAGCAAAACCTTCCTATTTTCAAACTCAGGTTAAACATCTTAAAACCGCTGATCCATCGAAATGGTGGAAAGCCGTAAAAAATCTGGCAGGCTACACTTCAGATAAGTCCTTTCATTCTGTGATCAATGACAACCGAATATTAGAAGGTAAAAACCTAGCAAACGCTATCAATGAATCATTTGTTGCTGTTAACAAGTCTATGCCCCCTCTTTCCGAATTCGATAAACAATTCCTTATAGCACCTTGCGAATACCACATCCCAGTCGAACTAATTGAACGTCGCTTGACCCTATAAGCTAGTCAGCCCCAAATGAAATTGTTATGATCGTAAATTATATTTCAACATTTATCAGGTAGATGATCTCATGATCATCAGCTAGGTTATGTGGTGCTTTGAAGCTTGATATAGTTCATATTTGAAAAAAAAAATGTATAAAATTTCCTTTCTAAGTATCATGAAAATACTTATGTTTGCTAATTATTCCTTAAAAATTGTCAAAATCACTCGTCGGCTTGAAGAGTGTCTGGCAATTTGCTCAAAGAGTAAACTGTTGGTCCAGTAAGATGTAGGATTGCATCCCACTGACGATGAGAATATTTTTACTCTCTGCAGTCTCTTAACATGCATACATTAGTCGAAGTTTATTAAATTGGTCAAGTCACAAATTTTACCAACAAACATTTACAAAGGTTCCGCCTTTCCCAATTTAATGGGGAGACTCTTCCGATTGCATACTTTCCTCTCTTTCTCTACCGATGTGAATCTGAATCTCTCGATTTTAGAAATAATTTCCTTTATCAGATTATAAAGAAAATAAGTTTAAAACGCCATATCTACTTGACTAAAGTCATACAAGTATGCATGGGAATCGCTCTTAATGTTAAGGTCCCTTCTCAATGTGCAGGCTTTCTCTCAAAGATTTTGAGGATCTGCAGTATAAACGAGTTTTGCTAGAATTCAAAATTTTAAAACTCATTTGTGACACATAGAAAATGTTCGTTTTGGCTTCAGAGTCAGATAACCTGAGTTGCGGAATTATACTCTTTGCTACACCAAATTAAATTGTTAGTCACTCCCAACAATCTATGGTTGTTCATATGAGACGAGCAAGCGCGAGTTATCGGGCTGACTATTTTCTTCCACAACTCCGCCATTTCCTCAAAATAAAGTTGGCTTTGAAACTCATGGTATTTTCATGATATTCAATAACCTAAAATACTCATTACCTATAATGTACAATAATTTTACAGAATGAAAATAAGACGTGCAATTGAAATCAAGTTACCCAATGTATATGTGGAATAATTTGCTCACATATGGCCATATTATCGCAGCGCCGCATGGTACAACTGTTGTGGATGCTGTCTTTTCTACGTAGGAGATCCATAACCAGCTGCAATAGTGCGATGCGCTCTATTTCATTTCACTTTCCTCATTAATAGATTATTATAGTGCATATCTTAGATCTTTTTGTAAGCCCCTGGCAGGGGAACTTATATCCACTTCGCTTGCGTTTCAATCATGGAGGCGTTCATTTGAAAATGGCTCTTACTTGTGATGGCATCCCATTTCTTTAGCCAACATTTGGTGACGTGAAAACTAACGTTAATTTCCGGGAGAATTAAATTTGGAAAGCTATTCAGTGCAAGTGTGTTTGTCCCCGAGCCGACGGCGCGAAGCGCCGTGCGAGGGTACTAATTACCCCCGGCTGTTTACACCCGGGGAAAGGGAAACATTAGCCAAGTCTAAAGTTCGTCAATGAGCGCGGGCGTCGGTCATCCTCACTGATCTCAAAAATAAGGGTGTTTGCCAGGAGTGAGATAAGCAAGCTTTCAATTTTCAAAAGCATATATTTGGAAAGTCACGTTTCACACAATGAGGTTTGAAGCAATTTTTGTTTGAAGAAATGAGAAGAATTGATTTACTGTGGAAAATCGCGGAATATAGGGCAAGTTTGCTTTGAATGTTTAATGTTTATGAATTTGCGCAAAACATGCACTGCTTTCCTTTTCAATGAAGCTGTATTAAAGTTTGCTAAATTACCCTGTTTAATTTAAGAATAAAAGGTAAAATGTAAAGGAGAGCAAATTCATTTGAAAACCGAACTGAAATTACTCAACAATTTGAACTTATTTTATTTTATAATCTATATGAAAACTCGTGCAGTTTTATTTGGGAAAAAGCAGTTTATCGTTTAATATTAAAATGAACATTTCAAAACATTTTACGAAGCTATTCGCGTTAAATTTTACATTAAATCAAAGCTCACAAAATGCAGAACAACATACCTATAGTACATATTTCATACCTACAGTACTTATATAGTTAAAAGCAATAATCATTAAACTATTTTTAAATTATTTTAAATTTATCGTGTTGCCATGGCAACACTGACGTAAACGCGAGCCTTCGTTCAGTCACAGGTTCAGTGTTAATCAATTACTAATACTTCATGTTAAATCAATGTTTGGAAAATACACGCGAGGGGTTGCTGCATGCATGTATTTCTAGTTTATTACGAAGTGCGAAGGTTGCCTTGTGGAAGGGGCCGTAGTACTAGCATAGTTTCGAGTGCAATTTGGGTATAACATGCACGAGTGACTTTTTCAAAAACCTCAAAATAGCACCGAATGTCGAGTGCTATTTGAGGTCTTTGAAAACTGACTAGTTCATGTTAATTTATCCAAATTCCACGAGAAGCCATGCCATCACTTATGTACTGTTTAATAAACGAGCAGGAGTGTTTTATTAGGATTAAAGCCACGAGCGTGCAGCG